ATGATACGAAAATTACGTACGCACCCCAGGCGAAAATACATACATACATGTCGATTGGGTAGATTTGCCTCCATTCCCCTTAAGATGCCTTCGTCAAGATAAGTCAATATATTCGTCATGCGAGCCACTGTGTTCCCAAAGCTGTGCATTGTACTCATATTCAGGGGACAACGGTAAAAATTCTTCATTGGGGACGTAGGAAACGTCAACCATGTACGGCTCTGTCCAAAAATTTTCACTCATAGTCTCAACGAACGCATCCGGAGTAGCCAAGTTGGACAATCTTCCCCGACCAAATTTTCATTATTACTGCTGAAACCACCGGCATGATCAGTGAGCTGCACTGGGAAAGTACTTGAGATCTGGGACTCGCCTGCTGATGTATCACACTGTGAAGAAGGAGCAGTTGTAGTACATATTGTGATTGATGAGTCGCAGATCTCTGGCTCGATTCAAGTGGAATTTGATCCTTTGACTTGAAGGCTTTATCCTTTTCATGTCCAGCTGAGTTTCCTTGAGCTCTCTTCTTGAGATTGTGTGCCAGTGGTTTTTTTATTTCGTTATCAGTTCTTCCCGGTAAACAAGCAGCAATCTTTGACCACCTACAATTCAAAAAGGGCCATAAACAGCCACACATGTCCCCGCCCTTCCGATATTTAAAATTATGTTCCATATATAAGTTTTTATGTATCTATTATTTGAAATTCGAATTTATAGAGTGTGGTCCTTAGTTATCTCCTATATATATAAAACTGTAGTTAATCAAGACGAAGAATTTATCTCAGTATGTAGGGCTACAAATATACTTCATTGCCAGTATAAACATAGTTACCCAGTAGGTTTTACTGTTGATGCAAGAGATAACCATCTATATCTGGAAAAATATTTGACAGGATCCTAAGTGTCTTAGCCCATTTGGCAGCCAAAAATACGTCCTAGTCGTTTTAATTTATGCTTTCAAAACGTTAAAATGACCCTATACAGCTCTAGAAATAGTTTGGGCTTGTTGAGAATGACCTGTAACCTTTCAGCACAGTGATGAATGATGATACTCTTTCAAATCCTGTTTATAAATTATTTCTAACATTTTTACTGAAGCTTCAAAAAACATTGAATCTTATTAATTTGTGTTTAAAAATTCAACAATTTTTTAAACTTTAGCCTTATTTTTTAGGAGTTTCCCCCCAGTTTTCTGTCTTCTATATTTTTCTCTCCACATCGAAACAAAAAGTTAGTGTTCAGATCGAGGAAGATGCATGTATCCGGAAAACGAAAGGGATTATCAATCCCGAGGACCAAGACATGGTACTAAAGGGCTTAAACAAGTTTTTACAGTGCAATTTAAAGTCTATAGTAATTAATCAATCGCAATTTGGTACTAATTATGTTGAGAACACATTACAAATCTACATACACTACAATGTTCTGTATGGATTATAGCTTACATAAATTAGATCTTGGAAAATTACGTAAGGAGAAATAGGAGTACGTCAGGAACATATATAGGTGATGTGTCCCACGGGCCGTGATGCGAGATCCACACATATATAAATAGATATCAAGGTTTTTTTTAATCGTCGTAATGTTAAACTCTCAATATTTAAATTTTAGTTATTTTGCATGTTTTGTGAATTAAATGACAAACTTTTAGGCTTAAATTATTTTCTTTAAAATTACAAATTTTAGTTATTTTGCTTTATATATATATATATATATGGGCTAAAGTTGCTGCTTGTTTTATCATATTATATTCTTCCGCAACTTAATTATTTGGAAATTTGTAACAATAATTTGTTTAAGGACTAATATAGATAAAACTAAAAACACTTCTAAACTTTGAGACAGTTATATGCAACCCCCTCATCTTTAAAAGTTTAAAATTAAACCCCGATAGTCTTTAATTTTATTTTTCAAACCCTCTATTGTTAACTATGTAATATTTTTTCATGATGATTAAAATATCATTCAACTAAAAAACTATTAAAACAAAAAATTATATTGTATGACTATTTATAATATTTTTTTATATTTTTTAGATAGTTGAGGCATCGATAAAAAAAATGTTATTGTCATTGTATAAAATTTTAAATATTTATGTTTATATTAGTTTATTTATCCATTTTTTTTGTTATCAATGGTGCATGATTTTATTATTTTAAAAAATAAATTTTTTATTTATAATACACATGGCTAAAATATTTAAAATTTTAAATATTTTCATGTTAGATTAATTTATCTTTTAATACTAGAAACTATGCACCATTGATAACAAAAAGTAAAAAAATAATACAAAAGTAAATATTTAAAATTTTATATGGTGATGATTACATTTGTTTTGACTATTATTAATGCCTCAACTATCCAAAAAATATAAAAAAAATTATTATAAATAGTTATACAATATAATATTTTTGTTTAATGCTACTTTTTAGTTGAATGACATTTTAACCCTCATAAAAAAGATATAATTAACAACAAGGGGTTTTCAAAATAAAAATAAAGGTTAGGGGGTTAATTTTAAATTTTTAAAGGTGAGAAGGATTATATACAACTGTCTCAAAGTTCAACAGAATTTTATGTATTTTAAGCCTTCGTTTAGTATTTGTTATATCGTCTATGTATTTGGTTAGGGCTATAGTCTGGATTAAAATCCAACCCTATAATCATGAGTAGTAATTAATTGTCCTCGCGGCTCAATGGGGTACAGGGTTGGCTTTCTAGGCTAGAAACAAGTGCAGTGTAGAGAATACTGATCGAAGCTAATTGCTTAAGTCAAATGTAGTAAGGGCAATGTAGATAACATACTTGTTCCCACTTTTGGTGAAGTGTGATGATAGTGTCGTCTTCTAGGGGAGTGTAATTCCCTCTTTTGATGTCTGGTCTTAAGTAGTTCATCCACCGAAGCCTGCAACTCTTTCCACACCTTGCCAATCCTGAAAAACCAGAATTCATTGTCAATATGTGGTTGAAGCAACAAGACCAATATGGATGAATTAATATCGAAATTCAGCAAACCGATCCCAAGAACAGCAAATGAAGGTTAAATAAAAGTTGATGACGCCACCTGCATGCTAGCTCAGGTGGTAAGAGCAGGGTGGGATTGAGTGAGATATATGTAGAAGTCAAATAATTAGTGATGTTCAAATAATTAATTACCAGCAAACTTGGGGAGTAGTCGCCAATTCAACAGCCATACCTAGTAATATAAGCAACCAACTTCATGTCTTCTTCTGGAGTCCATGTTCCTCTCCTGAGGCCATTTTTGTTGCTGCATGGGGTTCTCACCATCTGTGTGTGTGTGTGTGTGTGTGTGTGGAAGTTAACTGGGTATTAGTTTTGTGCGCGCGCGCGCGAACAGTGTGTGTGTGTGTGTGTGTTTTTTGTTAAAAGCTATGGCCCAACTCCCACTCCAATTCTATATATAATGGCAGAATTATGTTCCTCCATCACCCATCATCTCCGATATTCATAAATTTTCATTTAATTTTTGTATTGATATAGTTTACAAGAAATAAATTGAAATACTTTGGTTATATATTAGATCTTTACTTCTGAAAATAAATTAGTAGTAATATTTATATCATACATGTTATTTTTTAAAATAAGTTATTTGGAAGACATGCCAATTATTATACAAGTTAGAGCATTTGTACATATTTATTCTTTATTATTAATTTGCATAGAAGATTAATTAAGATTAGTTTGAGTGTGTAAAACATATCATTTTTTTTCTGAAGTGTCAATTTTCGAAAACTGGCCCCCGACTTAGGGCTGGTTCGGCCCTCGTTTTAGAGTGAACTTTAATAGCGATGTTTGTGAATATGAATGCAGAGAGTCAGTGGAGCTTTCGTAAACTTTTTGACAATATTTATGAAGCGGGCGTTCACAGCTAAAACGTGCCTCACGCTACTTAATCGATACTTTCCAAACAAGAGTTATCAGCCTCTCAGTGGTGTGGTCCAAACAAACCACCACTTCAAATTAAACTCTCTAATGCTACATTTTAATTATTGAAACAATTCCAAACTTGTAACAATTAACAGCTTCGCGTGAGTTAATTATAAAGTTAGTTCACCGACCAATGTAGATTTGTGGAAAACGAGCGATTAAATCCAGTATATTTGAGCCACTTCGATTCCTCTTCGTCTTCTTATTATCAATCAACAAAAGCCGGCTGGCTGGCTTGCCTAGATTTCAAAGATGACAAGACGTGCCCACGCTCCAATACCACAAGTAATATACATCATAATCTAGATGATTGATATATGGATAATCTAGTGTGGGGCAGTCATTGGTGAACCGAAAATATCATTTCATCAATTCCGTACTATTATTAAGGATTTTTGTATCATTCTTGAATCACTTGCCCGGCCCGGCACCTGCTTGAATTTTATTGAAGCTTCAGCACAGTAATGTGGACTTGTGAAGCCATCAGTTCTGTAGGGTTTCGGGACTTTCTGCCAATCTCCTCTGCTGCAGAGTTCAATCCATTTTTTTTTCCACCCAGTAATTCACGGCTTCATTATCGGAACACGTACAGAAGCTAGATCTGTTCACAAATCCTTCTCCTTCATTGAAATACTCATCTTCCTTCGTACCCAGACCGTCGAATGCAGGAAAGAAAGAGCAAGCGGGGAAACTGGTGAAATTAGGGAACTTACGGCTTCTTAATTTATAATTGATTAACTGGAAATTGGAAATTGAAACTAAATGTATACAACTTGCAAATAAAATGGTCCCATGGGTAAGTATGTGATCCATGTTTTATAATGAACGGAGACGAGGGGGTCAGGATAGTCACAGCCCCTCATGACTTTTTGAACTCTTTCTAATAATGCGTTGTATGGTTTCAGCGTAACAAAGTATAACTTTACTTAATCATTAAACACAAAGATATTTCAAAAGAGATTTTATTTTTGCCCTAAGAAAATAGATGCCAAATATGAGATCTATTTTCTTTGACTGCTAATCATCATTATCATGTTAATATATTACTACTGTTATAAATTATCAATTAATGAATTAAATAATACATTTACTGAGCAAGCAACCTAATTTTTTAAATTGAGCACAATGAATTTAAGAATGATTTTAAATCATTCAATGCTCAGAATATATGCAATCTTGTTGAGGAATTTTACTCTTCAAGGTTTTTAAATAAAAAAAGATTTAATTAGAATATGAATTAAACAATTTTTTTATAAAAATAAGAGTTAAACATTACGAACTTGATGTGTCCAAAAGTCCTAATTTCCTGAACTTGTATACTATGAATAGAATATGTCAAATTTTAATTTGTAAATGTTGAAAAGTCTAATTCTTATTTATTGAGGATTTTTTTGCCACAAAGGATAGACGAGCAAGACATTAAAAATAATTGTACGTCTTTATTTAATTATATATTTGTAAAATTGAATATGAACATGGGGAAATATTTATGTTATGTTAATTATATATGTAACTTTCCTTCAATTAATGTACGTGCTTTGTAATTTAATTTAAAATTCTGGCTCTGCCTCTGATAGTGGCATTGATTGATCAATGTGAAAATCTTATTAGTTAGCACATAATTTGCAAGTAAATTTATATAGATTCTTTTTGAATTGTAAGGTTTATTTTACTCCTAATTAATGGTCTTCTGAATTTAATTCATGTAAACTTTTGTGTACCTATCCATGTATCCATATATATAATCTCCGGGCAGGATGATATTAAAAGCTAACTAGAATTCCAGACAGTTAACCCATTAAACCAGTCCCTTCTTGTTTGGTCAAGTCAAGAGTTTTAGACTGGTTATTTTGACCGGATTAGGTTTTATATTTTCTCTCGCTTACCAGACACGAACAACATTGTTTTGAGTTGTATTCGTGCTCTAATAACCCTATTTTGTTATATTATATGGGGTTTATACATAAATTGTTTATTTATTTGTAAATAAATTTATTTTTATTTAAATATTACTTTTTTAGGGTCATATGTGAATATTTTAGAATATTTTAATTAAATTAGATTATCATTCAATCACAATTGTCCACTTACCCTTGGACCATCCTTTTTTAACACTGTCCGAAACTACACTTGTTTTCAACAAATAGGGGTGAAGGCAGTGTAATAATAGACTACTAATTAAAAATTTTGTTATATAACCAATGACAAACATTGAAAAGAAAATAATGATATATAATAAAAGATTTATTTTTGTATAAAAAAATATTTATGATTTAATAATTTTTTTTATACATTTCAACGAAGCTTTAATTCAGGTATTCCTCTATTTACTGGTCTTAGAATTTCGTTTCTTTTTTTTTAATACGTTGGATATATTGAAGTACTCCCTCTAATCCTGTTTACTGGCATTTCGGGACTTTTTTCTAGCCTTATTTTATAAGTGACTTTGCAAAATTTATTAACGCCAATTGGATAAATAAGTTTGTTTATGGTGGAGAGAGTGACCAAGCGAATGGAGTAAAATTGTTTTGCATTTTGTAATTAATTAATCAAGGGAAATAGTATTGGAAATAGTATGAGGTAATTTTAACATCAACAAAACAAACTTTGTTAGTTTTCGTAGAGTTCAAAGTTATTATAACTTGAGAGGGGAAATTTTCTTTATTATTTTGATCATTATTCTAAATGAACTGTTTATCTAATGCGTTTTTTTATGCTCAATATAAGACAAAATTTTGAGAGCTTTTTCTTGTTCATAATATAAGACAAAGTTAATTTAATTAATATTTTTTACATTTTTATCTCTTGTTTATTTATCTGGTTTGAAATTCTTACCGGGTAATTTAATATGATTATTAATTGCAAAGAAGAGTAACTCAAAAAGTTACATATTTTTTTAACTAATTTAAGAATATAGCTATCATTTTTAATAAAACACAGGATGGATGTTCGCGCGTGGGGATTTTAGTTGGAAATAAGGCAAGCTGCACTCTTAAAATATAAGTTAATATATATATATCTATATATATTGGAATTAAAGGAATAGGCACTAAAGTTACAGCAATAAAGCCAATGTATCGGTTGTAACTTGCAACTAGCCTCTCTAAACTTGACACACCGTGTTCCTTTTTATTGGGACCATTATTTTAAATTTGGTTGACAAAACTTCAAAAAAAAAAGAATGTGATTAATTGTGAATAACTGAATGCTAATACTAATGCACGCAATCACACCGAGTCGCACATCACGGTTTAACGTGCTATAACTCGTAAAAAACCTTTTTTTTTTAGAAGGACACGTTTGGAATGAATACTGCAACCTTACCAGATATTGATTTAATTTATTAAAAAGGATAAGCAACTCCTAGAGACACTCGTCTTAGCTGAAAATGCTCTTGGTGTATCAAAACTCAAATATTTATCTATGGAAATTAACTTTCACGAGTTGGTATGGGTGGTTAAAAATTGGTCAAAATATACAAAACTCCACTCTACTTGAGGTCAGATACATTATAATCTCCCTCACCTTTAAAAGTTTTAAAAATCACATTCTCAACTTTCAAATTTTGATTATCACCCCTAGCTGATAAAATAGCTATTAAATTTAATGAATTCATCCCACATCAGACTGTATAAAATTATTTGATATATAGGCAATTTTGTGATTCTATTCATAACAATCGCTAATCCCTTGTCTTGTCTGCTCTCTTCGTCTCTCTCAAAGCCAAGTATTCCTATTTTTATGTGTCATTTGACCGCTAATCATTCATTTGAAAATCATCCTATTTCGGTCACTTTCTTTCATCAAATCATAACTGTTTCCTTAAAATTCTGATCGTCTTCTTCTCATCGGAAAACAGCGATTAATTTCTTTTTGGGCAACAATTCCTTAGAATCATTAGAAAGAGCTCATGTCAAAAATCAGATCTGATTGTCCTGACAACTCGTAGAAATGGAAGAGCAACCACAGACAACAAATGGCTACATTTTCTCCACAGCATATGCCCCAATGAAATGTTGTGCAACCTTTGATCTTGTCTTGGGCTTTAAATCCCGCTTCTTTCACTATTTACTGGGAAAAAAACTCCAACCTTAAAGATACTTTCAAATCTTTGCATAAAAACATTGACATAATACCATTACAAGAATTTAAGAAAGAAGATGACTGAGATGGGACGCATAGGAATGAATTTACAAATGAAGATCATGATTAGAAGATTAAGAACCTGTCACTGACATAAAAGACTTGCAGAGATGACGAGAGCGAGAGGAAAACACAATGGAAGGCGATAGGAATTAGGGATTACAACCAGTCAAATAAATTAAGTCAGGATAAATTAA